ACAGAGACACACACACACACACACACACACACACACACACACACACAGACTGGACGAGTTCTACTCCAGCCTGAGGGTACACACACAGAGACACACACACACACACACACACACACACACACACACAGACACCCACACACAGAGACACATACACAGACTCACATACACAGACTCACATACACAGACACACATGCACAGACAGACACACATAGAGACACACACACAGAGACACACACACACACACACAGAATCACATACACACACAGAGACTCACACAGACAGTGACTCACACAGAGACACTCACACACACACACGCACACAGACACACACACAGACTCACACTGGCCTCTGGCAGGTGGTGGGCGTCTCCGCGGTAACCGGCTCCGGATTGGACGAGCTGCTCCTCCAGGTGCAGGACGGAGCCGCAGAGTTCGACAGGTGAGTCCTGGTCCTGATCCGGATCCTGGGCTGGCCCCCTCAAGCTAGTCCTGGTCCTGGTCCTGGTCCTGATCCTGATCCTCCTCCTCAGAGACTACCGGCCCGAGTACCAGCGGCTGCGCACACAGCTGGTGAGTCCCAGCCCTGAAGGGCCACCGGGTCCTGGTCCTGGTTCTGGCCCTGGCCCTGGCTTTGGTCCAGGTCTGGCACTGGTCCAGGTCCAGGTCTGGAACTGGTCCTGGTCTGGCTCTGGTCCTGGCTCTGGCTCTGGCTCTGGCTCTGGTCCTGGTACTGGTCCAGGTCCTGGACCTGGTCCTTGTCCTGGTCCTGGTCCTGGTCCTGGTCCAGGTCCAGGTCTGACCCTCTTCCTGTGCAGATGGAGGCTCAGAGCAGGAAGCAGCAGGAGCAGCTGGAGCGTCTCCGCAGAGACCTGGGAGCCGTGGACGTGTCCGGGAGCCCAGGTACCCCCCCAGAGCCGACACCCCCATACCCCCCATAACCATACCCCCCCTTCCCATGATGCTCTGCCTCCTCCTCAGACGTTGCCATGGCGGCGGGGCCCAGTGACCTCATCATGAACCGAGGTAACCCCCCAGAGGAGGAGGAGGAGGAGCAGGAGGACAGCGACACGGACGACATCGACCACAACGGTGAGGCACCTGGGGGGGGGGGGGGCGCCCTCTGACCTCTGACCAGAGATAAAGTAAAGTAAAGGTGTTCTTTCTACACCAGACTTAAGTGGAAGTACGGAAGTAATCCGTTTTTTTTGTACTTAAGTATTGCAAGTAGAAGTGTTTCGAAAATTGCTAGTCAAGTCTCGAAAGTACAAGTAAAAGTACAAGTACTGTGTATATTAAAAAAGGCAGTCAAAAGTGTAATAGATATTGTTTATAATATTTGAAACGTGTGAAAGGCCATACAGGTGTTTACAAAAAACAGAAAACTACATCTGCATTAGCATATGCATATGTAGTTAGTTAGAATCATGTCAGAATCCTGAGCTGAGCCTTTATGCTACCATGTAGCATACAGCTAGCCATCTAGGTTAGCTTCAGCTAATGTTAGCAGCTACGTCCTGAGTGGGAGAACTGGGAGAACTGAACTAGCGCTTATTTACTTACTAGCTTATATGTCATTGTATTTTTTAAATTACCTTGATATGCTTCTTCAGAATAGATGGGGAATTTTTGAAGGCCATGATTTCGCAATCTTTCGGGAAGCATTTTTTTTAATAGGCTATGCTTGATCGCTCAAATCAAATGATGAGCCAACTTCACAAACCGTGACAGAGACTCGGGGATGATTCAGAAATGTTTACATATCAGTAACGAGTAACGATTCAGCCCGTGAAAAATAAGTGAAAGTAGGGCAAAAAAAATCTACTCCAATAAAGTACAGATACTGCATTTTGGTACTTAAGTAGTTCT